AAAAAAACAATTATTTCACAAAATATAAATTATAGTTTTGAACGTCTTTCTATTCGACACTTCACGACAAGCTATTTGAAAAACTATTGTGTATCGATCACGAGCCTATCAGATTTTGTAATCAAATTAAAAATTAAAAATAATGTAATCAAATAATATAATCAAATTAAAAACAAAAAAAAAATATCAGTTTCCTACTAAAAATTAAAAATAATGTAATCAAACATTGGCACAAGTAAATACAAATACATGAATAAGAAAAGAAAAAAACATTAAATATTTAATCAAAATACTATCACATTACTTGAAAAAAATTAAATAAAATTATTTTCGAGGTGTTCATTATTTCGTAACGATTTATAGAATAAATACATTTTTATCTTATAAACTATTATTAATAGTTATAAATTGAATTTAAGGTTAGTTCTATTGCATCATGACAATTAGATAAAAATTGGCAACCATAAATAACAGGAACATATATTTCAAACAATTTTGCAAATAGCTTTATTTAATTGTTGAAACTAAAAGCATAATATTCAAGTGCTCCAGTTTACATTTTTGTTAAAATTAACATTATCCCAACTATGATATACACCATCTTCCCTAACTGACCAATATATTTTTCTATGATCACCTTCAGCACTTGGATTATACAAGTTGAATGTTGCAGATAATGGTTGTTGTTTTATCCATTTCAATTCACCTCGTCTAGCCACAAAGTTTGTTAGGAAAGCCAAAGGTTGGCCTTGTTTCAAAACATATTTTGGTTTGTCATTCACAACCACAAAGTGTAACTCTCCTGAATTATTAGGTAAGTCATTTGCAACTGTGATGGAAAGTGCTTTTTCAGCTGGAGGTCGATAATTCAGTTGAGTAGAAACTCTACTACCAAAAGTTGTGCTAGTGAAACTCATCAAAATCACAAATACTGAAAAGAACGATACCATTGAAACAGACTTTTTTTTTTTTGTTTTATCAGAGGTTTTTTTAAGTGAAACAATTGTTATGGTTTTTTCTATATTGTATTGTGCTTCATTCTATTCTTTATATACACATTCTTATCACTATTATAATCAATTTTTTCTCTAACAATTGATGTATAAGTATTACATATCAACTAGATACATTAATTTTTAAATAAATCAAAAATTAAATTTTATAATCAGAAAATGTATATTAAAAATTGATGTATATGTATTATATATATAGATATAGACTAAATACATCAATTAAACTATGGATCTGCACTTTACATCAATTTAATATATATATATATATATATATATATATATATATATATATATATATATATATATATATATATATATATATATATATATATATATATATATATATATATATATATATATATATTATTAAATAAGAAAAATCAAATTTACTTATATAGTGATTGAGTAGTGTATATTTAAATAAAAAGAATAATTGTAAGGATTCTTTAAATTGAGTCTAAAGTTAAAATAGGTAATAAAAGATAAGTGGAAACCAAAAAATAAAAAGAAATGAAATCAAAACATTTTTTATGATAAATCAAATAACAAATTTGTTTACATTGATACATAATTTTAAGTAAATGTTATTGTCAGGATCAAACTCTGAAACTGCACTTTACATAAATTTATAACTCAATTATTACTTATTAGTTAAACTACATCACTCACTCTAATTTCACTAATTTTAAATCAAAATTAAAAATATGATAATTTGTAATATATACTTGTTTTTTAATTAATTCTTTATTCAGTTTTTAGTTACAAATCCATCAATTTAAAATTTTCCTCCAACATAAATAAACCTTCTAGTATCATTCACCTTCCACTTTTTTTAATTCTGTTAATAATAAATAAAAAATTTAATTGTTATGCTCGGATAATGTAAAGATATTTTACATTATCAATTAATCATATTTGTTAAATTTTTACAAGTGTTTGACTTTGACTTTAATATTATTTAAAATATCACTTATAAATAGTTTTTATGTATTATCTGTATAAAATATATTATACTGACAGTGCAAAGTAATTAATATCATAAATAAATAATTAATTATTTAGATATATTTTAAATATTGTATAATTTTATTGTTTATAATTATTTAATATTTGATTTTTTTCTTCAGTAAAATTATTTTGAATAATTTTTCATAAATATATTTTTGAGATATATTTTTATGAAAAATCATGTTATTTTTGTTAGGCTTCAATCTTTAATAATATATATTTATATATTTATGTTTCTGAATATCAAAATTATTATTTATAATTTATAAGAAATAAATAAAAAACTTTATGTTTTAAACATTTTTTTTTGTAAAAATCTAATTTTTAAAACTAGACTAAACGGACCTTTTAAGGAATCCATAATTTGAGTAAAAAATTTAAACTAATAAAAAAAGATGAGTCCAAATATCTAAGATAAATAAAATCAAAACTTTTATATTTTTATGATTAAACAAATAAAGAAAATTAAAATAATATAATTTTACTATATTTAAATAAAAAATAAAAATAGAATAAGTTGTAATACTATGTTTTCATGTAAATCACATTTTATTCCATTTTTAGCTTTAAATATATTTCGATGGGGAAGGGGTGTGATTATAAAGTTACTATAGTGTTATATATTGGGTGTGGCCTAGCTAAGGTCACCACACCTAAAGGGCGAGGACGTATACACCCCGCCTCAATGTACTTTATGTCTGCCTAAAACAGGGCATGCATGGGAAATATGTTGGAAAAAATTGGTTAATACCATATCTTTTAGGTTTTCATGATAATAGAACATTTAAGAAATAATTGGATAAAATAATGTGTGCTCAATTGTATAGGTACAATGATTAATATATTGATTGAAAGTCAATTCTGAAACTGCACTGAATATTAAAAGAAAAGTTTTTTAAAAGGCAGATGAATGTGTGAAAAACACAAGAAAGAGGAGGTTTGAATTAAGTTTCTAAAATAAAAACTTTTCTTTAAAAATATTTCCTTTAAGTTAAAATTATTTTTCCTTCACTCTTGATAATAATAATAAATAAGAACAAGAAGTAAAGAATAATGTATATGTATATGGGTTAAATAAATTTTTGATCCTTCTGAATATCTCAAATTTCGATTTTAGTTCTCTAAAATTTTCATTCAAAGAATAGTCCTCTTAAAAAACTAAATTTTAACTTTTGGTCCCTCCTGACAAAATTGTAGTTAAAATTGTCTCTAATTCCATCGCAAAATAAAACAGTCGCTAAAACCATCGCTAAAACCGTCACTAAAATCGTCGTTAAGTTGTAAAAACAATCGCTAAATTACATGAGGGACTAAAAGTTAAAATTTAATTTTTTTAGGAGGACCATTCTTCGAAGAAAATTTTTAGAGGAACTAAAAACGAAATTTTAGATATTTAGAAGGACCAAAAACTTATTTAACCTTGTGTATATTAGTTCACTTAAAAATTATCAAGCTAGTCTAGTCCATCCGCCAAGGTGATTTCGCCTCACTCAATCGAGGACTTAATTCACTATAATCAAACTGATTACCATTTGTACAAGCTACCCGCCCGCAAGTGACTAACAACCTCTAAGACTCGCAAGTCAAAGACTTCTTAAGGATACGGGCCTACTCGTTCCCTTAAGGAATATCAAACAATAATCAAACTGATTATTACAATGCACAAGCTACCTGCAAGTGACTAACAACCTCTAAAACTCACAAGTCCTAGACTTTCTAAAGATACAGACCTACCCGGTCCCTTAAGGAAAACCAAGCAACTGTTTGAATACAAGTTTTATTTAAAAGAATATTGCTTCTACACAAGCTGCATATGTAAACTATTTTAAGAACAGTAACTTAAGAATATGAAAGCTATGAACATCGTTCGCGCGTGGATATTTCATTGATTGGCAGCTTTCTCTCTTAGTCTTCAAGCCTTTATATAGCCAATAAAATAATATGTCTGTTGAGGGGTACTCTTGGGATTTCCATAACATTGGCATATTGTTTCATGTCAATACTTGTGTGAAAGGAAGTATTACTACCTTGGGCGGAGTTCTCATATAATACTTCCTTTCACACAAGTATTGGTATGAAACCATTCAAAGTGGTGTATGGACGAGATCCTCCGGGTCTGATTCGCTATGAAGTTAACAATGGAGATCCACCATCGTTACAACAACTGTTGCTAGAGCGTGATGATACGTTGGCTGCTCTGAAGGCTAATCTGATGCGAGCTCAACAAATTATGAAGAAAATTGCTGATAATAAACGATGATTTGTTGAATTTGATGTGGGTGACATGGTGCTAGTCAAGTTGCAGCCTTATCGTCAACACTCAGTAGCTCTTAGGCGTAATCAGAAACTCAGTATGCGTTATTTTGGCCCATTTCCTATCATGGAACGCATTGGTCCAGTTGCTTACAGGCTAATGTTTCCCACTACTGCGAAAATTCACCCTGTGTTCCATGTTTCTGCATTAAAATTATGCAAAGGTGACCACTCTACACAATTGTTACCCCTTCCTTTGACTACTAACGAGCAAGGACCATTGATTTTTCCCCAAGCTATTGTTAACCGTCACACCGTCCTCCAAAATGGCCAACCAAATCAACAGGTTCAAGTCCAGTGGGAAGGTACATTTCCAACTGAAGTCACTTGGGAAAACTGGGATGAATTAAAGCTTCTGTATCCTAACCTTGAGGACAAGGTCCTTATTAATGTGGGGAGTAATGTTATGAGCTGGAAAAATAATACTGTTGGAGGAAAAGGACAAATTGGAAGCAATGAAGGACAGGTGTCAAACGATCCTAGCATTGTGGAACCAAGGAGAGGCAAGAGGGTGAAAATCCCTAACATAAAATATTATGTGGGTCAGCATATATAGTATGGCACGATGCAATATGAAGGCAAACAATAAGTGATACATTCTCTCCTCCCCTAGTGGCATTCCTTGTGAATGATTTGTTCCCTTCACATTAATTTTGTACTGTTTCCTTTTTCCAAAAAGAAATAGAATGATTTAATCAACTCTTATTCCATAGAAGTTTCCTTGTATTGGTTGGAATTATTGAAGCTATAATTGCATTCCCTTATTTCGTATTCTATTAACATTGAGTATTGTTACATGTAACTCCAATGACTAATATATCGCGTCAGAGATGTCAACAATATGCAACTAAGTTCTTTCTTACAAATTTAACACTGATGCATGTCCACAGTTGGATTTAAACCTAAGACATCTAATTAAGTTTGAACTATTCCTTATCATCTCAACCAAATCTTCTTGGATACAATATTATTAGTGAATTAATACTATAGAATAATTTTCATTATATATGTAATATAAAATAATCTGATGGATTTTCATTTATTTAGTAATATAAAATATTTTCAACTTAAGTTCAGCTGAATAAAATTTAAAATATTTTTCTCTAAATCTTGTGTTCAATCTTAATTATTTTTCATTTTCTTAGGTTTTAAATTTTTATCAACATGTTTTACTACTATTGTTATGATAAATGTGACGCCAGCCGGTTGAATTCAAAATCAAACAAGTTACACGAATGTACAACATTTTTTATTTATATGTATATACTTAGGCATTATATCTATAAATAACGAGCCATTATATATCCTTATCATTGCATGTTCTTCAAGCATTATATTATTAAAGGGGTAATTTAATATTTATTATATTTGGAATATTCTCTCTTAAGACTTATGTGACATTCTTATCTTTACTATTTTTGTGTATAAATACGTGTACTAGATTTCATTAATTAATACAATCCTTCTTTCAATTATTTGTGGCAGCTTTACATCATTCATCATTTTCTCTCTTCTTCCTCAATTTCATCACCTTGCACCAACAAAATTGGTATCTAGAGCACTTGGTTCTTTTGAAATTCTGGGAAACATGAGTGAAAAGTGAGTTGTGTGTTTGA